ATAAAGTTGGGACCTCAAATCATTGCGAAAACAACTTGAAAGTAAATAAAAGGACTCTGTTGCTACTGCTGCTGATGTACAAATTAATCAAAAGGCACACGGTGACAGCAGTTCTCCATGACTTTGCTCAGACTAATTAAAAGACCGATTCACCCGAATTACAAAACAAAAATATATTTCCTCTCTTGCTTTTCTAATCATGCAGATAGTTCGGGTCTTATTTGGCCCGATTTTTAGATATCTGAGATTTCTGTTGGCACCTGAATACAATGGAGGTGAAAGGAATTCACCGTCTTAACAGCAAGCCTGTCAAGAAACAATGTCCTGTTAACTGGATACTCCACACCATCACTCTGTCAACACTTTTCAGTGGAAGTTGATTCTGGAAAAGAAATAATCCCTTTGAAACTGTCTATGGCTAGATACCCAAGCGGTAAGTGAGAAAATATGTTTTTTGTGATTTGGGTGAACTGACCCTTTAAAATGTCAAGCAAACAAAACAGGTATGAAACTTGAAGATAGCTGAATCGTTAGATGATTCTATTTGCCACCAGCCCAATGTCTTGGCGCATTTTCATTTTCCCTCCTCTTTGACAAAGCCTGCCACGGCACGTACGTTTCCTGTCACTTTCCCAGGCTCAAAATGGAGGCGGCGGCTTGGCAGTCACTTCTGTGTGGCCATGCATGGGACAGCCTTGTCCCTCCCCCCTTGACCTGCAGCTGCCACTCAGACTGACATCACCAGAAAGCCCCTTGTTTTGTCTCCAAAACTCCTCCTTGGCCAAAGGTCAAGGTTCAGTTTGCGACGGGTGGGAGAGAAATTCCACTGCCACATATGGAGGCAAATTAGAGGGCCGACTGCGTTTATTGGGCGGTCTGCTTGTGGTATGACAAACATATCCTCTTCCACACCCACTCTATTTGTTTATCAGGTATTTAGTCAATACCTAAATGTTGCATAATGCATGAGGCTACACAATGCTTAATTACACTTGCATGATTTGGATTCCTCATTCAAATTAGTCTGTGTGATACATGGACTATTCTCAAGAGAAGACATGTAATTACTGTACTATTTCCATTTGGCATAGTGACTCCTGCTTACATGTGTAACCAAGGAGGGATATAAAGTCAAAGATACTTGTTCTGTCTTTTTAAAAACTGCTTTTACTGCAGACTTACGCTTTTTTCCTTTTACACAAAGAGAGTTTCTTCTTCTTCACGGTATAATGATGGCATGAAAGCCTGGGTTTGTGAATTCCAAATCCTATTTACCTCTTCTCAACATTAAAGATCCTTAGTGAGGAGCACTTTGCTCGCAACTATTTGATGATAAAAGCTTTTGAAATATTGATTTGAATGTGAAATTGAGAGGCAGTCGTGAAGGCATCAGTCAGTGTTTTTCTCTTTTAATCCAAACTTCGAGGGCAAGAACAGAAGCAGAAAGGAAGGGAGGGTGGGAGGGAGACACATGTGGGGGAACATCTGTGTGTGTGTGATTCTTGTGAGATGGGTTTGTATCTGTGCAAATGTGGGTGTATGTTTGTGCAACTATGTGTATTCCAGTGTGTATTTTGTGTGTGTCTCTTTCTGAGTGAGGTGAGAGACTGCTTGATTTTTGAACCACTGTAAACAAGCCAGAGCCTTGTTAACGATGCCACTCAGAGTTAATGCGCAAAACAACTTTCAACTCAAATCCGCTTTTCAGGAAAGTCTGAATTCCACGCTTATTACTGCAAAATAAATGCTGATCTGCACTCTACCTCAGTGTGGCGGTGGAATCTTTGGCAGCAGCTACAAATTCCCTTTCAAACATAGTGAAACATAGTGAAACATAGCACATAGTGTGTGCATACCCAGGTAAATGTATTTCCATAAACTGTCATTTCAGGAAAAACACACACACACACACACACACACACACAAGTCAGCATTTCCACAGTAGGCCTCTGACAATAGGGGACACATAAAGTATGGGAAGAATCTCCCTTTTCTTATTCTGCTCTCAAAATACACCAAATTCACAAATACACTGAAATGCAACACATAAACCCATGGCAAAGATATAGACAAAAAAACAAAGATACCTGAAAAAAATGACACAGTTACTACTCGATATAGTTTAATTGCATTCATAAGCATTAGGCCAAAATGACATAATTTCTCATTAAAAATGGAAAAGAATTGAACACTGGTACACATAGAGTTTTGCTGTATTTCAGCTTCATCAAAATGTCAAATACATTTGTGGAGTGAATAAAAATGCAAAAGATGCCTATAAACATGTGAAAAAAATCAATACATTGAAAAATGAATACCTATGCGCCATAAAAAACAGAGACTGACAATTGTAGGTCCATACAGCAGTCCTGGGTACTATTTGAACTACTTCTGTGTGTTGAGGTTGCCCTCTACTGGCCCCCTTTTCTGTGGCATGAAAGATGAGTTTACCTGCTTGGTGGCACAACATTATGTTCCTACATTTACATTTTAATACAGCAGTTACACCAGACTTCACAGTAGGTATATATGCTAATCTATAGCCTGTCAAATGTGCAGTGTAGTTGGATGAAGATAAAGTGATGTGTGTGTATGGATATGTAAGTACTTGGAAGGGTTCAGATTGTATGAGAACATAAAAAACACATGAATTTTAATACCGCCTCCAATCCTTAAGATATTGTCTGTCCTCTTGTTTGTTTTTTTAGATTTGTTAAGGATACTGTTTTAATACTATACTCTTGTCACCAGTTTTACATCGTGTCTCCTGTGGCTCTGAAGGAGCTTTCTAAAGTTGGAGAGAAAAAACACTGTAGGATGTAACAAAGGTTATCTTGACATAGAGACAACACAATGTAAATTTAAAGTCCTGTAAGCCTGAATTAAAAAGTGCTTTCCACAGTGCTGTGTGAACATTACGACATGTACAATGAATAAACTGCAGTTTCTCAGCTCAAGCGTAAAATAAATTGAAACCATTCAACATCCTTCCCACAAGGTGTGACTCACAAAAAAAAGCCATCATTTCTATCACAGGGGAAATCCTTGAATTGTTTTCTGTATAAATATTCTCTTTCTATGAACATATTGAATGTGATATTATCCTTGATCTTGCTATTAACTCAACCCTAGAGATCTGTGACAACGAGGATATCCTTGAAAGGCGGTAGCTCACAGACAAGAATCTTGAGGATACATTTAAATGCTACACACAGTTGTATCTACATATTGAGCTAATCCCCTGGTACACAGACACATTACTGTATGACACTCAGTTGAAATGATACTAGAAATGATTTATTCCTATGTTTTCCACACTGCACTGAGACAGAAATGAGGCAACAGCACTGCAAGTTATTTTCACATCTTGGCTGAGTTTGGGAGCTTTTTGTTATATGAATGTGTTGCAGGAGTTTCATCCCATTCTCCTGTTTCTAAAGTGCCTTCCCGTGTGGATTCCTGTGCCATGACACAGGTTTTTGTATCTCTCCGGGTCTGCTGCTGCTGCGGCTCGGGCTCCATCAGCATGACTGATCTCATTTATCCTCGTCGCATCCAAAGAGGCCCGCGGTGTAGGGAAAGGGAGCTTCAATAGCAGCACTGTTAGTGCAAAAAGCACAGATCATTGAGCTGTGCAGTATATGGCAGCCGGGGACTCGCTTGTGTGAATAACAGTTTGTATTTAGGATTTTCTCTGTATGGGGAACTCCAGGGTGCGGGAGATGTATGGTGTGCTTCATGATGGGATAAACAAACAGATCACAAGCCGCCACTGTGCTGCATCATCTTATATACCAGATTCAATATTAGTCTATCAATAATTCCTGCTGAGATGTCAACCACAGAGCAATGTACTGCAGCAACAAACATATGGCATATTAGATTCAAATAAATGTGACTTCATTCTGAATTACAGAGGGTTTATTAGTTCTCTTACAGAGATAATATGCCTGCAAATATTGTAATCTTTTGTAAAATGTTTGATTGCTTGATCCAAGAAGCCAGAAACGATGTCCACTCACTTATTCACCCAAATCCTACATATACCATGAAAATCACAAGGAATCAATATTATTTGAATAAGACAACAGAATATGAGATGAACAAGGGTATTTATTTGTATGCTGCTAATGCCTTCACAGAGAGAGAAGCTCATTCTGTAAATGCGCGAGCAGACTCACCATCTCATGACATCCGCCTCTGTAGCCTCTCTTGCCATGACATTTTGTACCTTTGCTTGTAATTGATTTCTACTTCAATTTATTAATATAGCCTATGGAGCGCCTGGAGCACAACGCTAGTTATCTGGGGCCCACCAGGAGCTTAATCTCCTAAGATGAGTTGAATTAATAAGAGTGTTCAAGTAACATATTGATTACAGAATCAATGTCTGTTTCTTTGCAGCGTGCTCAAATGATTACTATTAAATGGAACGGCATTAAGCAATAAGACAAGCCAGTTTTGCAATCATTCTGCTTCACTTTAAATTTCAATAGGCTCTGTTTTGATTGATAGTGTGTAAATCTTTAACCATATCTTTCACAACAAGAGGGATTTCAAAGAAGCAGATTGCTAGATAGATGTGTTCCACCACCTTCAGGTTTTATTGATAAATCTTATACTGTTTTCTTTCAAATCAAAAGCTTGTTGCACTGCAAGGGATGAATCTCAGAGCGCTGAAAGGATTTTCTGAAAAGGGGTGTATCGTTGTTTCCAGGTCACGATATTGTTCCCTGCCTGCGGGCAGCTATGGATTTGAGTGTCTGCAGGTAATTTAGAGGATGGTGGTGACTTTCATACATTCAGTGCAGATGTGCTATCGAGCCAACATGGGACCAAGTGTATAATCACTATCATGGGGCAACGAGTGGATAGGGTGATCATTTTGTATCCTTTCCACTAACATACGCAAAAAATAAACAATCTGAGGAATCTGAATGAATAATATCTCTGATGATATACATTTTACATCATTATATAACATTTCTTTTTCTGTACGATTACATCAAAAAACATAAGCTTTCAATCTGTAAGTTCACCCTGAATCCACTTCTGAACAATTTAAATTTTTATATATTCACAATGGTACAGATACTTTAATGCATGTTCCTTCAAAAGATATATTTCCAGTGTATGTGACATAGCTAACAATATGAATATAGTGAGCTTTGACATTTTTTCATGTTTTTGCATAAACATCCCATTTTGAAAGGAATTTCTCCAGTGCACATAAGAACATCAGCCTTTACAGAAAGCAGCTCAGGAAAATATTGATAGGTATCTGTTACATTATACATACAGTATTTTTATAAGTAAACAAGGTGTCTGTGTGATGAATTAGTAAACATTCTACGCATAACTTTATTCTCACATATGCCTGAAATATCTTAATCATAAAAAGGTCCTTTAGGATTGTTTTCATGCCAAGATGCAGCTGGCATCTCTAAGTGAGAGAAAGACAGCTGACATATTAATAACACACCTCACTGAAAATAGACCAACAGAAATATCCAGTTAAATTCTAGATAAACATTACAAAAAAACATTTACTGTATACATACAACAACAGGTAAAACAGAATCCATCAGTAGAGCCTATCAGTACACATCAGTAAGATTTAATGAATCACTGCTTCAGCAACCTCAGCGGGTTAGTTTGAGTGCAGTGGGATGAACGTTGCAGATGTCAAACCAGCGCTGGTCCACCTCCTTGTGTGGCAGCAGGCCATTTCGTGGCAGAAAGGGCCGGCGCCAGCGATTGCGGCTGCCGACCACCTGCCAGAAGCGCGTGCCCTTGAGTAGAAAGATGGCATTGTGGGTGTAGGAGAAGTAGGCAGCGTCAATGTTGCCATCTGGATGGTCTCCGCTCTCCACTGCAGGGAAAACATCTCTGATGTTTTTGGGGAAGCCTCTTGCCAAGCTGTTGGCTTCCACATCGAATGCATACACCTGTTTGAACAGATAATTGTTTTGCCTCTTATATAAAAATCAATTCAATTATAACACGCAAACAAATCACAGAGGAAGTGTAGCAGATTTGTTTGTATGAATATGTTCCCTCATATTGCTGAGAAACAATGAATTAGCTTGGGCTTTTGTTTCTCCAAGACTTTGTTTATTGTTTATCCACTTCTTCAAGAAAACTAGTATTGTTAGATTACATATCACATATGAAAGTTGTAATGACTATTAATCCAGGGGCCCAGAGAACAAAAAAGAATATATACATAATACCCATAATGCATTATGTTTGAACCCAAATCTCTAATGACAAGTATAGACTTATACATATACTTTTGACTTTTGACGTCCTCTATTAAAACGTCTACCAAAAACGTATTACAGCTCTGTGCGTATATGTGTTTAAAGCACAGAGCAGACATTATATAATATATACCCAAGTTTCCTGTGTATCAGAATTATTAACTGATTTATTTAGATTTTGATAGAGGGTTCCTTTACAAGAGAATAATGAGAATAATAATAATAATGCAGGACCTGCCTTAGTTGATATTGCCTGCCAAATTTGCACTTTGCACAATATGTAAATGTAAATTACCAAAACTTGACACACAAGTGAAAATGGGACTTTTGTGGTGCTTTCTGTGGTGCCTGGAGTTCTGTGACACCGTGGCAGTTGCCCACTTTGCCTGGTTGGTAATCCAGCCTTGATTTAATCCCTTAAAATGTCACCTGACTGGCCTTTTCTTACACAATCTCCCAATCTATTGCTGTTTCTAACCTAACTAGTACAATATATCTATGTGCTTCCTATGCACCTCCCCACTTATCATGTGTCAAAGGGAAGACAAGGATGCAATTCTTACGAGAGTGTTTTTGAAGAAGTAGATGTGGGAGTCCCTCCTGTCATAAAAGGCTGTGTCAATGGGACCGAACACCCCTGGGAAACCCTCAGAGATTAACCTCGGATAGCGGTGACCTTCAGCGTCCTGTCTGAACACTTGGTCATTCTCATTGTCATACCTCCAGAACTGAGTACCTGTGCACAAAAACATTCACCAAATATATCTTTATAGTTATTTTAATACAATGATTACCCTACTGGCAAACTATAGTGCATACAGTATTAAGATATGGAGGCTAGTACTGTTTTAGGCCTACCTTTAAAGAAGTAAACAGCATCTCTTTTTCTGGACCACACATGCACAAACGCATCCACTCCTTCCATGGGAATTCCACGCCAGCCAATCTGCAGTGCAACTGGATCTCCATAGCGTGTTCGGTTATTTCTGTTCTCATACAGCCAATACCAGCCGTCTCTCATGAAATAGGTGTTAAAGCGGATAACCACCTCCCCATAGGGTGTCTTTTCCTTTCTGATCCAATCAAATACTGTGTTGAATGGACCTTTACAGCCCCCTGGGTTCAAACACAAGCACTTTATCAAGAAAATAATCGGTTTTGTGTCAGTCTGTTACTGTAAATATGATTAACTAAACCTGAATGTATTTATCTCTGTGTGTATACATCCACTAGATGGTGCTGTTACCATAGAGGTGCTGTATGGCTTTCCTGTCCGTCCAGTCCACCTCAAAGCCTGACTCATGGGGCAGATAGCTGGGTTGCATTATAGAGCCTGGTCTGTAGATGTGAGGGAGACCCAAAACATGGCCAATCTCATGAACTGCCACCTAATGGAATTTTTTTTTAAATAGAATTAATGAGCAGTAAATGAACCTCTTATCATTCTTTTTCAATTATAACATTTGCTTTTTGATTTGTTCACGCTGTATTTACCTTGAGAAGGCTGATCCCACTGCCAGCATTGGGACCAGTGAAATGTTCGTCGTCATCAAAGTGTATATCACCCAGGAACCAGGCGTGGGCAAATTCTTGACCACTGCCATCAAACCTCTGATTACAACCCAGATGCCTTCCTGTGTGGGATATAGTGGCACAGAATTAAAAAAAAGGTGGGCATGGTGAAAAAAAATATTAGTTTTAATGTTTCAACATATTCCTTCTCAATGGAACACAGATGAGGGCTGGTACAGCTAAAATATGCTAGTTCTTAACATTAAAGCTATTGTTGTAGTGTATGTTGAATTGAATTATTTAATTTGATAATTTTGGACAAGCTGCTACTTTTTTTCCTCAAGTGTATAAAAACAAAATATTAACCTTCTTAGAGAAGTGATGTTATCTTGAAACAGAGAGTAGCAATCAAAAATAAAATATAGAATTTTCACTAAAAAATATGTTGCAATGAATGCTTTATGTATGTATTTACAGTAGTACCTGTACCAAAGCCCAGCCTGATATCAACATCCTCCAGTGGGGAATGTGTATCCTCAACAAACTCCAGTGGAGACACCTCGCTCCACATCCTGAAGGCCAGTCTGAAGATGTACCTCTGGTCTTCAACAGACAACTGGCTGCTGTAGCCTTCTCCTATCAGCCTCCATTTCAGCACCCTCTTAGAAAAGGCCATGTAGCCCGTTTCGCTCAAATCTCTCTTGCGCCTGTTTTTGGATACTAGAGTGGCAAGGTGGCGTTTCCTGCGCCGCACTGCTTCACTCTGACGGGTATTCGAGCTTATATTTAAGGTTTGACCGTCCATGTTGATGCCATGTGAACTGTTTAGGGAAGTGTCATTTAAAATGTGATCAAATGAGTTAAAGTCTTTAGTGTCATTGCTGGTGTCATTGGAAATGGCTGTGACGGCACTTTCTGTTTCATTAAAACTGAATATGTCATCTTCAAAGGAGTTAGCAGTACCAAAACTATTACTTGCTGTGTTGTTACTGTCAGTCTCATTAAAAGTGTCACTGAAACTGTTTGCAGTATCTGAGGCACTACTGTTCTCAGGTGCCACAGGGGCGTTTAGGTCAATCTCCTTGTCAGGGACTCCACACCTCGGTTTGTTCATCGCCACCTTCGTAGCCTCATCGAACACACCAGTGACAGGCAGGCCCGACACCTTCTGAAACTCTTCAAGAGCTGAAATAAACGCTTGGCTCTCAGTTAGGCTGTCCTGGTCATTTTGATCGCTGTCCCGAGGAACATCCCTTGAATGATGCACCAAGGTTCCTTCCTGGATCGTGTCTTGAAGATCATCCAGGAAGTCTTCATTAAAAGAGGTGTCTGGGTCTTCAAACTGGATCTCCTCCCAGTTCACCGGCTTAATGAATCCATATCTAGAGAGAAATAACTATAGCAAGCCATGGGTTACAACATATGGTTCCAATAATTTGTCATAAAATGTCTGATATAATATACGCTGAGAACAATTGTAAAAATGGTGAAATTTTTACCTCTGCTGTGTACTTGTCTGATATAACCTCAGCTTGGTGCGAATTCAGGTTCTGCACATCAGAATGATCACGATTATGGAAAAGTCTCTCTGCATCAGCTGAGCTAATGCTCGTCCAAAAAAGCAAAATTATCAGCTGGATAAAAGTCAGCATCGTGGCGTCGGTTTACTTCTGTGACAACAACAAGTAAGATGATGGAAAGCAAGAAGCCAGAAGGCTTTATAGGCAGGTCATGATTTTCTCCACTCCCATCTGAAAGGTGTGACTCTCTGGTGGTATCCCACTTTCCTCAGCTCTGTGTGAAAAGTAAACCTATCTTTACTGTCTCCAACTGCTCAATTTAACTGAACTGTGTGGATGTGTTATACACGCTCCATTGCTTTTAAATAGACTGTTGTTGACCCGTGGAAAGACGTTAAAACCTTCACTTTCATGTGGACAATAGCAGTTTAAGAAAGCCATGGTTTCTGCCGACACCTGTTTTGAGTAGGACACACACACTTCAGTGTTTTACAATGAATACACACTGACCAAACCTTCCATGTAACCACACTGACTAAAATTTATTTTCAAACGCATTCAACTTCATTGATCAAACACAATCTTTTTCATTGATCATTCAAAAACCTACTTCATTGACTTCACTGACCAAGCATAGATATAATTAACATAAATAAAATTATAATTATATTCAATACATTTCTGAGGCATTCACAGCGCTGCTTTTTCTAAGTGCAAATTAGCTGATGTACATACAAAACTGGCAAAATAGGCAGTAAAATAAGACAGACAAATGACAACACATTTAAATAATACAGAATATACAAAGAGGGAAGCTAAAGTGGATGGATTTCAGAGGTTGTGGGTGATTATTGTAGAGCTTTGGCTATTGCTGCTGCCAGGTGTTCAGCTGTTGGCTTTTCTGCAGCACAGCTGACACAGAGGCCTTCTGCTGTCATAGCGTCTTGTGTGGTTGGCCCTATAGCTGCAAACTGGACACAAAGAAGTTTTAAGTGACTCTCAAAGGCACTGAAGATCTGTCAAATACTGAAGACTCATGCATTATGTTAAGAGTGTGACTATGGGGTTTCACCTTTATCTGAGTCAGCTGTTCACCTGACAGCCTCCGTACCACTTCCAGACAAAACTTCACTCCTGATGGACTGAAGAAAGCTATGCTGGCTGGAGTGCCCTGTAAATGCACAGACTGATGAACAGTTGCTACATTTAAAAAGAAAGTGCACTCTAAAATGTAGCAGGAGAAAAGGTTTTACCTGCTCTGTGAAATAGTTCTTTAGATTTTTCTCCAGATCTGGATGTTCAGCTGTTTGATAGACAGTCAGAGTCTCTAGGGGCACTCCTGGAAACAAAGAAACAGATCCCCGCGGTGATAAAGGTAACGCAATTATTATTTTATAATTAGTGTAAACCCAGTGGGACTTTTATCACCTTGAGTTTTAATCGTGAGGCACAACAGGGGTAAAATGCTTACCATTGTCCCTTAAAGCCTTAGGCAAGACTTCTCTTTTGATTGAGCCACAGGGGAAAAAAAGTGGTAGAATATTTGTGTCCTCTCCTATGATGAGAATTAAGTATAAGGTCATGTTAGTTATCACTCATCATAAATTTTCTATTAAACTGAACTGTGAGAGTATAAAATAATAACGTACGGTCAATGATAACACTCGATAGGAGCTGTGCTGTCCCTGTGTCCTCGCCCAAAGGGTTCAGACCCAAACTTCGCACTGTGCAGGAAAAAACACAAAAAGAATTGTTTAGGAATGTTGGTATCAGAATAATTACACAAAAACAATCAATTGCAAAATACACAACTCATAAAACTGACAACAAAGAGACCAACAGTCACTAAAAAAAGAAGGCAAAGCACACGTCAGGAAGACGCTGCACCTGCTTGTTTTCTAAAATACATTCGCTGTGTGTCGCAGCAAACTGTCACTTGAGTACAACCTATTTCCAAATGACTAAGGGTAGTAACACCACTTCACACACTTGCGTCAGTGCAACACCAGATGCGTGCCACACACTTCTAGAATTAGCATTAACACAGCAAGGGTTTATAAAAAGCACAAAGATTGGAAAAAAAATGAAAGAAAAAAAAGATTTTAAGAGAGAAGTGGTCCATAGGTGAAAATAACTCACCTAGTGTAGCAGTCGCCTTCCCAACTACATAGATGGATTTGGTGTTCCACTTGTCTTTCACAGAGCTGTTCCATTCTGAATTAATAATTGGCAAATTAATCAAATTGTTTCAAATCTTAGACAGTACACAGAATTGATGGACATTTAACCAAACACACACACTCTGGGGATTAAGATCATTATATAAAGAAAAGGTACAGGGTGCAACAATTATTCTGAATTGCAATTACTTTGTATCCTCTCACCTTCCCTTCTTTCTTCTGCTTCTAAGCACATCTTCACAGCCTCCACTGCTCTCGGGCTGGTGAATACAAGACCTCCATGTTTTTCTGGTTGGAAAACCTGAAATAGGAAGCCATCTTAAACAACAGATATCCTAAAGCAATGCATACGATAATACACTAATGAAACAAATGACTAATTTCAATATTGCAACAATGGAAGTTACCTTATCTGACAAGGTGTTTAATGAGACGAACTTAAAAGACAGTACAGGAATTAGGGTTGCTTTGTGTCCGTGCGAGGCCAGCTCCTGTGGAATGAAAATAATATGTCACTGTCAGCTTTTGCAAGGAGTAAAAAGGGAAGTGTTGTACTGACAACTGCTGACAATGCAAGCATGAACACGGCACTGTTAAAACCAAGTTTAAGATTTAGGGAAAGTGTGTCTACCTCAATGTAAGGATCAGGTCCAGACTCCCCATCTCTTGGATCTTTGAGAAGCAGTACGTTCATCCTGAAAAAGACCTTAAAACACTGGATCGACCAAAGAAATAGGGAACAGAACAAACCAGTGTGGAATATGAATGCTGCTGTCAGAAACTCAAAGCTGCATTAACACTGAGGACAGAGGGTGTGAAGGCACAGCAAGCTAAGCTACACCCTAAAACTGTCATATGTAACCTGCTGATAACAGCGTTGAGTCACGATTACTGGACTGTAGATGAGGCAAAAACATGTAGAGACATGCAAAAAACCACAATGCCACAGTTTCTAGTTATATACTGGATAAATACACTAACTACACTAACGTTAGTTGTATACTATGTGTTTATTAGCTAAAACGTGGCTGATGTCTTCTTGTGTTATTGTTTACATTAGCAAGACACAGTGAATGACATCTTAGCTACACTAACCGTTCCCTTAATATAAACTGTCCGTAATGCCTAGTGATAATAAGAGACTAATGTATCTTGCTTAATGATATACAACCTATAAATAATACTCAAAAAAGACAAAATATTGCATGAAATAAATGTACCTTCAGCTGAGTTGTCCGTACTGCTGAGCGTTTGACCACTTCAAGGAGGGGGGGGGGTNNGGGGGGGGGGGGGGTATAACACGAAATATTGACAAATCTCCCATGAATATTTAAAAATAGCTTATTTATTTCAAAATGTACACTAAATACTTACAACATATCATATAAATACTTTCCATAACAGTAACATAGTATTTTACGCACGCACAGTTTAAATAATTTTGAACCCCCTCCCCCCTTTTTTATAAAATGGTTTATTCCATTCGGCAAACGCCTGAGGTTGTTACGGCAAATGGCAACGCGGATGCATTTGGAGCCGTTTGGAGCCGTAATGGCGGCTTCGGAGTTTCAGTTTCCTGCTTCTCAGTGGGTTTACTTCAAGCGTTGCCCCGCCCACTCCGTTGACACACGTGTTGCCTGTTTGCAAGCATGGCTTCGTCAGCTAAGAGGAGAGCAGTCGGTTTGGGTCAAAATCCCGAGGAAAGTGACAACAGCTCCGACGATAACCCGGAGGACGATGGTGATTCCGGCGAGGAGGACAGCGAGGCATCAGATGAGGAGATCCACGAGGTAAAAGAACAAACAATCAATCAATAATCATTGAATGTGAACGCTATGTATAGCCTTGCTAGCCAGCTAGTTAGCTAATAGCTAGCTAGCTTCCTCAGCTGTCGGCTAATAGCAACAGGAGCAATTATTTAGCGATGCTGGCAGAAGAAAGATATTAGCGTTAATAAACTAACGTTAGATAAATTGGAATATGTTATTTACGTTTTACCTTTACCGAAGTATGATTGTAACCACTCGGTAAATGCTAAAGTCAAAACCCCACTTGAGTGACACTAAAGTGATTTTTACAAAACAAATACTCGAATAAAGTCACAGAAAAACATGTATATATTTACTTTACCCACATGCAGGCTGTTGTTTACTACTCTCCGCTTTATTGTTTGACACTCAGGAGATCGTTGTGGACTTTGAAGCCCACACCATTTCACCCAACGACTTCAATGGCGTCAAGAAACTGTTGCAACAGGTTTGGGATGACATTCATGTTTTATTTTAATCTAATTGATGTTAGATTAGGTGTCGGGGGGGCGTGGCCTCACTGATGTCATGCTGTTATGTTTGGACACAGGTCTTTCTGAAGGCTCATGTAAATACATCAGAGATGACAGACATCATCATTCAACAGAATCACGTTGGAAGTGTCATCAAGGTGAGTTACTACCTCGGCTTAAATCTTACAGGTGAGTCTTCAGCAGTTTCAGCTCCCATGTGTATTCACATGTCCCTTCACTTTGCTCCAGCAAGCCGAGGTGCCAGAAGACAGTGACGACGATGACCCGGATGAAGTGTTCGGCTTCATCACTATGCTTAACCTCACCGAGAGAAAGGTAACACCACCGGCGCCAACCTTACAGGCTAATTGGCAACTGGCGTGGCCTCTGATAATGTTGGAATTAACACATGTGGTGCTAGTTAATTTTAAAATTGGGTCACTGTGTGTGTCTGGTGCTGTTGGCAGGGTGTGCAGTGTGTGGAGGAGGTGAAGGAGTTGATCGTGGAGCAGTGTGATAAGAACTCTACCCACAGCGTGGCGGAACAGCTGGAGCACATCCTCGGCGATACCAGCAAGCCTGTGGGGCTGCTGCTCAGTGAGCGCTTCATCAATGTGCCTCCACAGATTGCCCTCCCACTGCACAAACAGCTCCAGTGAGTACACGTCCATAAGACACTGTTAAAACAGGCTACAGCAGTGTTTCATGAAGACGACAACATAGACATCAAATGCATCGTTCATGTTCCAAAAGAGGGTGTTGAGTACTTTTATTCTTAGTTTTAGAATACAACAGACTTTTAATGAGTATCTGGACCCCAAGCAGCACTTCACTGCAGTTTTTCTGCTTTCATTTGAGTTCTTCTGCATGTGTTTAAACTGCATGTGTGTATCCTTAAGTTTTGTCAAGTTTTCTTTACGATCAGTTATATTTTCATAGAACCAGTAGAACCAGTAGAACCACATGATCCTGGAAGAAGTGTCCAGAATTATGTGTCGTGTGTTTGTGAAAGCAGCAGTCAAACTACATCTGAACCCTTCCAATCACGGTGACTGATGAGCCATTTGCCCTTGTACCTTGTATGAACTGTTGGTTCAGCTGTGTTGTTGAAGCTCTGCTGACTGAAATGCACCTGATGGTGCTTTGTGAAGGGGAAAAAACTTTGGAGATGGGTTAACTATCTTTTATCTAAATCTGGAATAGTTGCTTATGATTTATAGCTGAAGGATTATCTGCAGCATTCCAGCTGTTTTTAAATAAAAGTGAAAGTGTTCTCTGCAGGAAAATAAACTGAATGTAATTCTGTCCCCAAGGGAAGAAATAGCTGAAGCTCAGAGGACAAATAAGCCCAGTGGGAAGTGTCACTATTGTCTGATGATCAGCAAGACCTGCAAAGAAGCAAGCAAGAGTATTCCAGCCAGAGGAGGAGCTCCCAAAGAGGAATACATGTTTGTCAATGCAGAGGAAGAGTTCTTCTATGAGGTAAAGTCAAGTAAATGCAAGCAGTCTTAAGATGTTAACGAAACATTTGATGATATACATGCAGCCTTGCATACAGCGTCACATTTAGATGTGAACTGAACTGAAACAAAAGATCTTTAATCTTTAATTTAAAAGATTCTTTAATTTAAACCTTCATAAAAGAAAGCCGTGTTGTACTCCTGTCTAAACATTCTCACAGATTTAAGCTCTGTCTTTGTTCTCCTTACAGCAAGCCATCATAAAGTTCCACTACACGGTCCAGGACGAGGCAGACTCCTGCTTGAGCGGCAGGTGGTCGTTCGACGACGTACCCATGAAACCTTTCAGGACAGTGATGCTGATACCAACAGACAGAATGCCCGCAATTATGGACAAACTCAAAGAATACCTAACTGTGTGAACCTCACAATAAACTAAGACACCTATGCACAATGCTGAAGACCTTCAGGCTTATGGAAATTGTTGAATATACTCTGTGTAAGAGACTGTAGAAGAAAATGTTTTGGTACCATCAGCAACAGTAGCGCCAGTATTGTAAACTTGACATCTAGTACATGTTTTTTTTATTTTATTTTGGAGTATTTACAAATTCCTTGTTCACTTATACATACCTGCTTATACTGCAGAAATATACAACAGGTTTGTCATGTGAATATAAATAGAAATACAGCACTAAATCACTTTTTTTAAAATACTTTTATGACAAGATTATAAACCAAAACAATTAAATGATAACTCTTTTGTGTTAATGACAACAGCTCGTACAGGTGAGCTTGAAGGTCCAGTCTCAGCAGATGGATTTGCCATAAAGTCAGCGTACTGGATAGTAAAGCTATTGTCTACTCTTATGTCCTTGACGACATAACTTAGAAAGCTTTTTTTTTTTTTTTTTAAACCAAATTTGATCTCGATTGTTGTGAAAATCGAACGTACAGGAACAGAATCCTGAATGGGGTTTATTTGTGCTGTTCTTCCGAAGATTTTCCAATTGAGCATTTCTGTAGATCTCTTGCCACCGAAAATAAATGCGTTCTATATCTTAAGCCTTGACAGTTTGCTTTCTTAATCTGGCAGCATGTCAACTCATACGTACTGTTTCAGTCACAAAACTGTATATACACAATGTTAACCTTAAGAAAAAATTGTACAAATACCTACAAATTTCCCTTTGCTATAAGAATCGAGGGAAAGGAAGTAGGTGACAAATTACTTTTTAAGCAGCTTTTACATGAACCAGCATTTTCCTTGGTTATGTAAACAAGAGGTATGATGGGATGTTTTTTTTTCTCCCTTACAAGTACTGCAACAGACAACATCCACCTGCAGCCCCTCTGCTGCTCATTAAAGTCTATAAAAATCTAAACGACCATTTGCATTTGCAACCACTTGCATTTCAAAAAGGACAGTGCTGAAGGGTAGAGCAGGAAAAAAAAGGTGAGAAACAAGAACACTTCCTTCCGTTACTAGCACTCAGGAAAAAAGGATATACTGGCTATAACTTGTATAGACCACAACTAATAAAGGGTGATTTACTACACTTAAAGGCATGTCATCTCACTGGACACCTTTAACCTGCTGGATGTTCTTTGCCCATGCACACATGACCGTCAAAACAACTTTTAAGCAACGTAATAACTTAATATTACAGTTTCTGATTGGCATTGACTATAAATATTTTACAAGCATAAATGCATTTGGTGATAAGATTGCAGTCCAGACTTTCGCATTTATGATTTTCCATCATTGAATGACACATCTGTCGTAAGTCTGCGCCACCGCTGCACAGCCCCCGCTGCTGATTGTGTTGGATTTTTGCTTAGATTTTCTGGATCCATCTGGGTCCAGCAGGTCTTGCAGTATGTCTTTGCTTTCACTAGGGGGCAGATTGTAGAAGAAGTAGAGTGGTGCCATCTGAATGAACCTAAAATGAAAAACAGAAATGGCATAATTTGGAAAAGATGGAAAAACAAGCAAGAATATGCTTAAAGAAAACAGACTAACTACCGTGGAGATTTTAAGAGGATTAAAAAACACATTGCTTCGTCTTACTGTAATAACAAAAAGACAAAAATCAAAACATGTTTGTCTCAACGTGTTTGTGGTGCATGAAAACATAAGCCTAATCTGCTTGTACATGTGACATCTGATCGTGATCTGACTCACACTTGGGGGGAGATTTCAGAGACTGTTTTCATACAGTTGTTCTCCGACAGGGTGTAGTCGTGGAAAACAACCCACTCCGGCAGCCCAAGCTTGTGTGACTGAGCCCCATAGCCGGAGAGCGGGTGCACTTGGGCCATGTGCTTGTGTGTCAGAATGAAGTAGTTTCCTGATCCGTCCACGTCTCGAGCAATCTACGAACACAAAAGACACTGTAGACTTGAATTCAGTTGGAATATCTGGAGGCGGATTCATTAACACTGACCTTTAGCTTCCATATACCTGCATGAAGAACCCAGCCAGCAGAGCTCTTTTGATGTTGTGGGTGTTGGTCTTGGTTCCGAAGGAGGGCTCAGAGATGGGAAGCTCGATCCTGTTCAGGGTATCGGTCAACTCTGATCGGATGGCCTCAGCTGTCTTCAGGGCGGAATGATCCAGGAAATAGTCCCGGCACCACTTTTCAGCAGTGAAGTCTGAACACACAGTGGAGTAGTATTTTGGTCATTTTTTGGCCTTGAAGCTCAAAAATAGGGCCATTTTTATTCTAATACTTAAAAACTATTTTTAAAACAATGTGGCTTAGATGGGGGCCACAAGTGTCTAATACAATTAAAACACTTTTGTTGTTCATTTTAATCCTCCAACTACAAACAATTGAGATTGGATGGAAAAAGTGATGATCAAATTATTATTTTAATTATTAAGAAAGATTTACTTGAACCCTTGATGTCAAGCAGTTTTTAAAATTTCAAACTAACGTGGCATCATTGGGTTGATAGCATCTTAAAATACCTTTTATTTTGTAATTATTTTTCCTTTTGATATCATGTTTATTTTAATTATTAAAATAATCTCATGTAATTTTGTCCTTTGGTTCTTCTGTTTTCAACTACTTGGAAAATGAAATGAGAATTTTTAAAGTACCTGAGAGTATTATGACATTAGTTTTATGTTACAAAGGTTTTATTTGTTTTGCCACTGTGAAGAAGATTCAGAAACACTGCTGTAGGGTTTCATCAGGCCCTGTGTGTCCCAGTATATTGCAGCACTTTTCAAGATTTACTAGACTTGATTAGTTCTGTTAACTTGCTGTGTCTTACATTGTTCTCTCTGGCTTTGTTTGAAGGCATTGTAGATGTTTATGAGGGTGAAGTGATCGCCTTCAGGGTGCTGGAACTTTCTGTGACACTGGACTGCCTCGTGGGTCATGCCAGCAGGTGGCTCCAGGAAGCAGCTTGGCGCTAAAAGCGAAGGAAACAAGGTGGTCAGCATCGCTGACATGGCACTCTTATCAAAGACCATCTGCTTCAGAGAGATTCTGCAGCTTCATTCATCTGCAAATTAGCTACAACAACAATATCCATCTGGTGAATCTACAAACCAATTAAAGGATCTTCACTCATAAGGTGTACTTGCAAGAAATCTGATTATAAACTAAAGTTGAACACATGGCACATGCGTACCTGACAGCATTGCCGCGATCGTCAACATCTCGCTCACACAGTCGTACTCGCAGGATGCCAGCAGCGCTTTGGCCATCTGAGGGTCCAGGGGGATTTCAGACATTATGATGCCAATCTCAGACAAGTTGCCATCATTGTCTAAAGCTGCGAGGTAATCCAGCTCCTCCAACGCCTGCATGAGACCCTCGGGATCTGGTGCGAGGAATGACACCGCATGAGCTTAACACATACATTCCATAAATTAGAAAGAGAGAGTCCCTATAGTGCAAATAGTACAGTGTTAAGTAAGTTTTGTCTCATCTCTGTAACAATTATCCTTTTGTTTCTTGCTCTGTGTAACTGTTCTTTTCTTTTTTTTGGGGGGGGGGGCGCCTTATACTTAAGCCACTATATGCGCTATATGCGCTATATGTGTTGGGAATTCCCAAGGGGAGGCTCCCAATGCTCCCAATAGGTAGTAACCAAATATGACACTGTGGTACACAAACTTGAGATACAACAACAGAATGCACCAAATATATATATATATATATATATATATATATACCATCAATTTATGCCATCACAATTATTGGAAAGTTGCTCTAATAATACTAAAATCCTACACTTTCCATTTCTAATGATGCATGCATATTGGGGAAAGCAATTTCCGTGCCAAATTCTGCAAGAATATGGAGATATTACAGTATATTTGGCTTGTACTTTCCTATTCATTGTACTTGTCTGATGCTGCCCTAACGAGACATGTTGTATAATCGTTAATGAGCTGGCCTCTTTTACCCCGTTCTGCTCCTGTTAGGGTGGGTCAGAGCTCAGACAATAGTTAGTATCAGGGTCCTGTCAGCTCAGCTAAATCATGGCTGACTGGGCGCAAACAGCTACACGGAGCAAATTCATCTGTACTTCCTCTAGCCAAAAAAAACCCTCCCACATACACCTCTCTGGCTGTGTTTTAGGGTGGGAGGGACATTTTGTCTGTGGGAACCAGTAACCTGAGAAAAAAAAAGCTTGTTATCATGTTTTAATGGTAACCCTGCACAGTTTCCACTAGCAAGCTAACCTGGTCTGTCGATGAAGTCACACTGTCCAAGGCCGGCTATCTCAATCCTTTTTAGGAAAAGGACTGTTGGTGTAATGTTGGACTCCAAGATTTGAGGGGAGTTCTCTGGAGAAAGCTGGCTGTCTTCTGGATACAGGCAGAAACATTTACCTAGGAAATAAATGGAGCTAAATTAATTATTTGATTAACTCTGATGTTGTTCCTCCACCATTATTATAGTCAAGATTGTTTTACCATGTCTGAGTCTGACTTGAAAACTATTTTTTCTACCTTTTAAACTGGTATATATATAGTATTTCCAGACATACCTGTCGTTCCAGACAGCTGCTTGCGTAGGTCTGCCTGACACTGACTGATGGGTTGAAGTACCTCCGAGTTAGCTCTTATTCTTGGATTGTACACCTACAAAGTCCAAACCACATGCCAATTAAATCAGCATATTACTCATTTAAGGTAGATATGTTTTGTTGGAAATAACGTACCATCCTTTTCTGGACTCCTGTGTCAATGACAAAACTGACAGACTCTGTAGGCCACCACATATCCTCCCCCTTTTGGTTAGAGAGGAAAACCCTCCTGGACCTCTTGGAGCCTGGTTGCTCAGTCGGGACAGGCGGCAGGCCTCCCTGTCCTGGGCACAGGACCACAGGCACCATCTGTCCCAGCTCTGCACCTAGCCTGGTCCCCTCTCTCTGGAGGATGCTATGGGCACAATGAACCTCCTGCAGAAGGCATTGCAAAGAAAGTAGCATATCAAAAAAATTGCTAAACCAGTCTCAGCTTTGGTGCAATGAAACCAAAATAATCTCTTACTTCAGCTGAGGCAAAAAATCCAACAACATCGCCGTCCTCTTTGGTTCTATGGATCTCCAGCACCAGTCTCAGTGCTGAGTAGAAGTAGTCTTTGTTGCCGCTATTGCTGTGGACCACCTCGGCTGGAGACGAGGCCTCCAGACTGATGAGCGGGACGCTGCCGTAGTGGCTGAGCAACTTGTCAGACATGGGCGGGATGGTGAGGACCACCACTCTGAGCTCAGGCCTCTGCAGCAGGATGTCCCTGAGGAGACCCAGCAGTATGTCTGTGCTAACTGTCCTCTCGTGGGCCTGGTCAATAATAATGACCCCGTAGTGCTCCAGAAAAGGGTCCGACATCATCTCTCTCAGCAGCATATCGTCAGTGCAGTACCTGAGTGATGAGTGAAGCCGTCAGAGGGGTTAATAGTGGAGGTTTTATGTAAGTACTATGTAAGTAGTAAGTAGAGACTTCAGGCCAATAGCTACATTTATCACAATTTTCTGGAGTAGGTTGCTTTAAAGACATCATCATCGGGAAAACTGACTGAAGCACCCTCCTGGTGAG